CAATATATAATAATGACGATTTTTTTTTCAAAAGATAATAGACGATCCAAAAATTTCCAGAACTTCTGTATATCTATTTAAAGAAATGGCATTGCATGAATCATTCTATATCATATATTCGAGGTCGTAGTTGCTATGATATTCCATGGAAAACCTCATCCATATTCTTTCGAAGTAAACAATAGGTATTGAATTGTCTTCTTTCGTTATAGTAGTAGCACTACTTTATACGATATTCCCAAATAACATGATGAAAACTGAACGGACGAAATCATAGCTATGTGTTTCCGCTCAGAAACTATTTCATCTCTCAATTTAAACACTTGCCATCAAATATCTAGTATATATTAATGTTTTTGATATTCCTATCAATAAATGTCGTTTGGCAGAGGAGTTTCGACAACGGTTCTCATCCAATATTACGATAATACATTTATCTTGCAAAACTCTCATTATATTATTATTGTCGATAAAAGAAATTTCCTCCTTCTTGATTTAAAACATTGATTGAATAAAATAATTCATTCATACATATCTTTTATTTGTGAGGCTTTGTTAGTTGCTCTTTTACAAATTATCAGACATTACGTTGAAGTAAAGTTTTTGTATATATGTTATTGTCAGTGTTAGCTTTTTTAAACAATATGAAAAAGAACATATTCGTTTATCATAATCCTATAAAGAAGTTTATTCGACAATGAAATTCTTAATGAAACGACGGCATAAAAGTTCAAACTAATATCATGCTACAATATGAATACCTAGATTTGTGATCCTTTTCTCCTATACTTCGACACCTTCATTTTTCATCTTTATCATCTAAATTGTATCATATTAATTAAATCTCAACGAATGAATCATCACTTTTGCCATAAAGCAATACTCGTTTAGACTATGTTCTCCAGAGAGTGACTGTATTGCATAAAAATCTACAGTTGTAAAATGCACTTTTTAGGCTGAATGATTCATAACACTAGTTTCATTTATTTATTAATAAATATGTTGCTCTGGCAGGTCGATGTTACCATCAACACGCACGTTTTCGTCATCGCAACTTGCATTTGATCAGATTTGATCATTTACCTCTTGGTAAGTTGTAATAAGCAACTTTACTTGTCGATCTGTAGAGCACGACATCTCTTTTGTCTTTACACATATCATATAAGAATCCGTAGTTCCGAAAGGACAGCCTACAATAGAAGTGTCTCACTACAAAGAAAAGAAAATGCTGAGATATATAAAGGACGGGAGTAGTCCAAGTGTGTCTTTCGTGAATGAAAGAAAAGCGCAAAACCCAAGAATGTAATGTGTAAGAACAAAGAGAATGTCGCGCAATATATATTGAGAAGATAAGTTGCTTATTAAAACTTACTAAGAGGTAAATGATTAAATCTGATGAGATTCATGTTGCGATGACGAAAATGTGTGGATCGATGATACCATCGACATGCCAGAGCAACATACTATTCCACTTGAAATGTACAAGCAACAAAATATGTTGCATTGTATATGTGACAGTCGCAGTAATGTTGTATTTTTGACAGAGGAGTTTTGAGAAATGTAAAGTTTTCGATGAATAAACTCTACCGAAAATATGAACACAGATAGTTGTCGTTGTAGAAGTATATTGGCGAGTAGAATTTTCAAATTCTCTAATCAAGAATAGTAACGAATATGAACAAGAATGTTAACAATGTGCATGATATTATTTGAGAAAGTAATAACACATGTATAAGAATAGCTCTATTTTTACAATCAATTAAATAGGTAAATGTGTAATTTTTTGATAGCATTTTTTATTCGGGCTTGAAAAAGAAATCAATTTGAAGCAGGCAAACATAAAATTATAGAAAATTAATCGCAACTTTTGAATATAAGAATAAGAATACGATAGTAAAATGTATGTAGTTACTTGTGAAAGATGAACAAATACTGAAGTGCAAGATAAAAAACATCTTATACTTGATCCAATGTATATTATTCTTATATGGGTGTCATTTTTCACTTTGCAGTGGGTGGAACATAAATCCTTGGATATAATCTCACTGAAAACTTATTTCATCTGTCTACTGGTTTTAATAGAAAAAAAAAGAATTTATGCATGCAAAGAATAGTTAAACTTGGATCGAGAAATATAGAAATGTTTGACAGAATTCTTCATGTTTTCTAATGTAAGAAAGAGATCGATAATTGATTCAGGAATAAGTTCTGATAGTGAAACTTTTTTATTGAGTCCATTTAAGCATATTTCTCCTCTAAAAGAAAAATAAGACATTTCACAATATTCATCGTCACTCTAGATGTTTCACATATATTTTTCTTCATATACAAAAAGTATCTATCAAAACATAGTTTTGAATGTTTTACTTTTATTATGGTTGCATTTGCAAACAAAAAGACTATTGATTTCAAAGATTTTTCTAATACATATATTTGTTCACTACAGATGAACAACGTTTTAATATTTCTTATCGATTGATGTTTTTGTTCACAAAATCCGTAATTCAATAAATTAACAGTATTCTGAAGTAGCAGTTTTCAAAAATATTTCTTGACATATGCAGGTGGAATTAAGATGTAAATTAGCTTAAATTATCCGTCAAAATATACTATGTACTACTCAAATATCTGTATTATAATACTTAAGCCTTTTTTTTGTATAGTTTCCGTTTCGTGTTGTAATGAAATTGGTTCGAAAGATAGATGTACCAAATAGATTATAACGAAACACAAAGATTATTGCAAGTAACTAAAATGTTTCGTGAAATAGTTTATAACTATATAGACGTTTATTTCATGCGAATGCATATATATAATTTACTACAGTTCATTAAGAAATCTAGTTGACAATAATTCTAAGATAAACAAAAAACAAACTCATAGATTATCATCACTCACCAGTATTTATAAACATTTGCCTAAGAATTTATCGATTACTAATTCATACATAAGGATAATTTTTTTCTCTTTCTCATTGATTATAATTACATCGATGATGAATCTATAGACTACTCTTTCATAATTTATAGGAAACTGTTGCTCTGGCAGATCGATGTTGCCATCAACCCACACATTTTCGTCATCGCAACATGATTGTGATCAGATTTGATCATTTACCTCTTGGTAAGTTGTAATAAGTAACTTTACTCGGCGATCTGTAGAGCACGACATCTCTTTTGTCTTTACACATATCATATAAGAAGTATAGAACGCAAGAATGTCGTCCTTTACATATCGACGAGATAAGTTGATTATTACAACTTATCAAGAGGTAAATAATAAAATTCGTTCAAACTCATGTTGCGATGACGAAAATGTGCCGGTTGATGGCAACATTGTCCTGCCAGAGCAACACCCATCATCAAATAGAAATAATAAAGGCGTCGATTAGTTGTGCGGCACTTTTTTGATGATGATGGTTTCAACAACTTTCTAAGTAACAGGCTTTTAGTATGTAGTATATCTGTGTTATAGAAATTCGCAAATAGTAAAGTTATAGACTGATATGGATTCAATATTTGCTTTCTCAGATAAAATAAACAAAATATAGAAATAATAATTACAATCATGAATGTCAGAAATGAGTACTAATAAATTTTCAAGAGAAAGTACTGTGGTTTACAATGAGTAATTCGAATATATTCAATTTAGTATTATGAAAATAGTCTTTTTCAAATCTTGAAGATAAAGAGGAATAGTTCTGTCATCATGGACAGATTATTATCTATATATATTGGATAAATAACAATGTCATATGCTTTTTAACGAAATCGGAAAAGCTAATTTGATTGACATTTGTGTTGTTTCAAATCGATAGAGAACAGTTTTTTTTTGCGTGAAATATCAAAGCAAACTATTCATGCATTTTTCCATAGAAATGGCAAAAGACAACTTGAATGATATTAATCGGCCAAATTAAAGTGTTAATAAACAATGAGAAAAAAATGGGTATTGTTGTTAGTATATTAGTTTTCGTTCTGATAACAGCTTTTATCCATCTATTCAACAATATATTTAGATAGAGCATTAAAAACTAATTCTAACTGAGAAACAGTTTCATTTTAACTCAAAAATCTATAATGTAACTTGAATGCTTGAATGAAAAGTACTCCTGATTATTCTTTTGAGAAGGTTTTTCGCAGTAGACAGCTTAAGCATTCTGATTCTTGATCTGTCATATTTTGTCGATTGAGAAGATTACCAGATCACTGTTCCAGTGATATATTTTAAAAATTATTTTCAATATTATCTCATAAAACTTAGAAAATATTACAATTGATTTGATTAACAAGTCAATTTACAAGTAAATGAGGACAAAATAATGACAAATTCTATTAGTGAAATCTAAACAAATTTTGTAGAATAAACAAATAATATTTATCATTGATGAACGAATAACTAAATCGCTCAAAACTCACATTGAAGTTATTCGTAAAGAAGTTTCGATCCAATAAGAGTTTATCGTTTATATTGTTGAATGATCTTTTATGTTTCTAGCTAAATTTATGATGTGCTAATAAGCTGGTTGAATAAATTATATGTGCTTTATAGCAGCATTTTAATATGAAAATTGAAAAGAATTTTTTCTGATCTATAATATTAAACGGCAAATATTTTACATACTGAACTCAACTGAAACATTCTAGTATATGTTGTCATCAATGAAAAATATCCAAAAAATTGATTGTATTTTTTCGAACTTTTTCACATGAAAACTCATTATCTGACTGATTACACAGAAACAAAACACTTCTGTTCTCATTGTAGATGAGCTTCTAGAATAGTGCAATCAAAGTAATCAGTTTCGCTTCTTTGATCTTGTTTAATTGACTACATCAAAAGATTCATTATCATGTGTGGTACGTATGCATCTACCATTACCTATCTTTTATTGATACTCAGTGACAAGTGTCTCCGAAAAAACACAACATAGAAATCATATGATCCTTGATTTAAGTTAAATATTTTCATTTGTAAGAGTTCTTCGATAATGCAAAGATTCAAACATGAGACGAAGACATTATGACTAATTCTTTATCTTCAGGAGCTATACCATCGACTTGTTCGTATTTTCTACCATTAATAAATGTTTCCTATGAATAATGCATAATTGGTCAATGGTAAGCAATATCAGTGTGTGACAGGCACATACATACCTGAGCATATTGTGAATTCTTGTCATTCGATCCACAGCAGCAGACAGTTTGACGACAAGATATCAATAGATATGAGTCGATTTTGTTGACTTCCGATTTTGAATTGCCTAGTTTTTACTAGAAAATAATAAGTGTCAATGATCTTTTGTCTACTTACCACAAAACAAAGAACATACAAGACCAATAATGACTGTCAATAAGACACCATTAAATCCATACCACATGAATGATATAGAATATAAAGGCAAAAACAAATTATTGTCATTATTAATGGATCTAAAGTTAGATAATAATAATGATCAAGCAACATGAAACATTCTTCAATACTTTGAATTAATTGTATTGAGTGTAATATTATTTAAATTGAGTGATGTACATCCATCGATGGATATTGGCAAGATTCGTTTTGGTTGTTGGTGTAATGTAAAATTAGCACCAATAAGAACCCAGAGTTGAAATACAAGGGTGATGAAATATGCAATACAAGCACTCTAGATGAACTACATTATTAATAAGAATGACACAGAACACGATATTTACTCGATTATTAACACGCGGAAAGAAAAAACCAAGTAAAAAAAGACCAAAGATTGGTGCTGCTAATGTGCCCGTTACGGAATATACAATCTTCAATGAATATTAAACATTACTTTCATATGACTATTTGAAAGAAAATATTTGTTTTTTTTTCATTTAACTCACCACAAGAATATTTGTCAAATAGGACATGAGGAAAGCGAGTAGAATTGTAAGTAGACCTAAGACAACAGCTAAGAAAACAAAGAATAATGATAGTATTACATGATGGTATTTCTTACACATATATTTTGAAATTATTGTTTGTAATTTATCAGACGGTATTCTAGTCGGCATTAAAGGTTTCCAAATATCTTCCATAATAACTGTTGCAATACTATTGACACCTGATGATATAGAACTAAAATTAATTGAACTATAATTGTAATTGAAAATAAATAAATGATCAATTACCTTAAAGAACCACTCATAACAGCAGCTATGAAAAGTCCTGTTAGACCAGGAAAACGACTAAATGTTTCCATAACAAATAATGGATAGAACTGAATATAATTAAAATTGAAAATGTTTATATCATCAATCAAAAAAAAATTTCTATACTTGATCGGATCTGGAAACAAATTTAGCTCTCAATGGATCACAATCATGGTATTTTGCATAGATAAGAAGGCCAACTATACCACATAAAAGAAGCAATAAAACAAGCAAGAAAGTATTTATCCATATAGCTCTATAAAATTTCTTAATAAGCAATAATATATTTGAAACTGATCTTTACTTTTGTGCTTCACGTGTACTATCAACACACATATATCGTTGTGTTTGTGTTTGTAAGATAGAAGAACATGATAAAGCATAGCATGTACCACCAAGAAGAGCTGTCCAAATTGTGTATCGTATTGTTGGATCAAAGCTAATGCTATTCGAATGAACTTTATTAAAAGTTTGAAATCAAATAAGAACAAATTTATACTTGAAAAAATCGATGCGTTGACCAGCGATTGCTATTTCAAGTACTTTTTTAATTCCACCAGCATTGGAAAATCCTTTAAAAAGATATATAATGAATGAAAATATTATTATTATTATTTGATTGTACCTAAGACTATAGAAAGAACAACACCAAGAAACATAATAAATGATTGTACTACATCAGTCCAAATCACAGCTTTCATGCCACCCTTTAAAGACAAGAAATATACATATCGAGAACTTTTCTATACAAGATTAAACTGACAATGCTTGTATAAAATGTACAAATGACTCCACATGAAATGATTGCAAGCCAAACTTTGAATAGAATAAAGAACACTTATGTTACGTAATGCAATGATAAATTCTTTTTACCATCTAAACCAGTGACTTGACTTAATGCCAAGCAGGGTCCATACAGAATTACGGACATAAACATGATCTATTATATTAGAATATCTAGATTTTTGACATTGGTAGTTACTCATTACTTACCAAACTGACGATAAACGTCAGTGTAACACTAATACGTAATGTCAATGAGAATCTTTGTTCTATGTACTAAATTTTAAGTATGATAATTGACGATGATGAATTATCTCACTACAAAATAAAATCATCATACCTTATAAATACTAATAAAACCAAGTTCTCGAAATTTGGGAATAAAAATATGACTTGTTAGGTACGCGGCTATTATCCAAGAAAGCACTAGAATAGCGATATATACAATTCAAAATTTTACAAACGATAAGAGAAAGGTTAATAGAATAACGCACGAAAATACAAATACATAGTACCATCTAAAAAGAAACCAAAAAAATATTCTAGTCGTGTGATCGAACAATTAATTAACTTACAATAATAGATTTCAACTGGAATACCGAGCAAAGTCGATGCAGAACAGAGTGTAGCAAATAAACTCATTGCAGTAGGCAACATCTATTATTGAGAGAATTAAAATCTTCAAATGCATATTTCAAAGAAAAACACATACACCCATGTTGCCACCAGCCATAAGAAAATCTTTTGTAGTCGTCTGTTTATTTCCAAAGCAACCATGCCAGATACCGATGATCGATGATAATCCTTAGAAAAATTAACAATTTCTTAGTGATAAGAAGATAAATGAATCTGTTCGATTTCTTACTAACCAAGAAAAACAACGAGCATGACATAATCAGGCCACCCAAGATAAAGATTCTTCAAACTCATCTAACCTTTTTTTTTACTAATGCAAACGAATACTGTGAATGAAAAAAGTTTTTTGTACAACTCACAGTATCACGTTATATATATATATATATTTGCTTTCATTAAAGTCATAAGAAATAAACTGGGAAGAAGAAGAATGAAAATAATGACGTTGCACAATTGGTTCTTCTTACTCATTTTATGATTAGTAATCGAAATATAGAGTTCGACTGTGCATGTAAATTTTATAGTCGACGCTCTCTAGTGATAAGAAGACTTTCTCTTTCGCCTATTGATTGTTATTTATTAGGATGTATGTCGTAAATCAAGTTATTCGAGAAAACACCAATGTTTATTAATAAAATATGAAATCAAATCTTTGTTGACAATAGAGGATGTGCGTGTAGGTGAAGGTTCCCTAATCTTTTCGTAGTATGATACTACTGTATCGATACTTACGTAAAGTGTGAGTGTACATTTCCTTCTGAGCTACACTCTAATCCATGCCAAACTTTATTGGATCTGAAAACTTCATCACTTTTGTACGACTACCAGGAAAGAAGCTTGGGAAACGATAGGGATGTTAGAAAACTGAAGACTCATAGTCGCACCACATCCCACATCAAGATTACTTCCTACAAAACCAATTGGTGACGTGAGAATTGGCAAAAATGTCATCCACAACACTATGTATAGTGCAAGACAGCTCAGAGTATTCAACATACTTATAGTTTGAAGAATTTATGCACTAAAGATAAAGATGATACAAATGCAGCACAAAATGAATTCGAGCAAAAGATTCAAGTTCAAGCAAAAACTCGACTTCAGGATGAAGGTGAAGGCATTACAAACTATGTAATTGATCTCTGAGTAGGACTTGACCTGAACAAGATTGGATCCAGATTGAATTCGGTTATGAAATCTATTATTGAATAAGTCGACGTCTAGGCTTAGATGTAAAGCTCGTATTGATAGAATCTGCGTTGGAAATCACAAAATATTTTTCGCAACACTCTGTGCTCCAGCACTTTGAACCACTGAAAGAGAACATATTAATATCAAAAAATTTTAATGATATTTCTTTTGCATCTATTAATTTATTTAGTAAATAGAACTTTTCTAATTATTCAATAGAGAATAATTTAAGATAAAAATTAAACTAAATCATTTGAGGTAAAACTGAAATTATTTATTGACTTTCCAATATAGAGTTGATCATCTTCTCACATCGTTGCTACACGTGCACTATTAATGTTCTTGTTTGCATAGGTGCATACTCTTCATTTTTTATTTCGTTTGTTTTTCGTGTTAATGTTAACAGTACCAAGACATTTTATAGCTTTATAATGACTGGCAAAATACCAGAGATAGGCATCTGCATAGCCACAAGTCAGCATGAGGTCATAATT